CAATCTCTTCTGAAGTGAAACCTAAATCTCAAAAAGAAACCGAAGTCTTCAAGGGAAGCAACACAAGTGTTTATAAGAAACACAAGTTACAATTATGATAAAACCACGAAAGTATATCCATCATCTAATACTTCTAAGAGAAGTCACAAGCTGTGAGAATTCCAAATATACCTGGAACCTAGGATTTAATATAATAACAGCACCTACTGTTTAAATATTATCACTTGCTGGGCCTTAATGCACTTTATATTAATTAAGTCATGTAATTCTAATTTTATGGTAGTGGAACTCCAGAGCACATGAACTTTCAAGCAAAAACGAAGAAAACAACAGCCAGAATGCTGTCAAAAAATAGAAAGTGAGTTTGTGGAATCAGTAGAGTCTTCCAGGCAGATTAATAAAAGAATGATAGCATAACAAATTTAATAAATCAAGGATAATGATCAAAGCCATGTAAGCTTCAAATCTGCTCCATTCTTAATGTTTGAAAAGTCAGAAGCCAGGAGCTAAAATCAAATTGTTTTGCTAAGTAACTGCCAAGAACTGTTTTTGTAACTTGTTATAAACTAACTTGCATTTAGTGAAAGTGATCACCAAATTATCATGATTTTCTTAGCAACAGAGCTGTGGTTCTCAACCAGGGGTGATTTTGACCCCCAGGGGACATTTGGCAATGTCTGAAGGCAGTTTTTTTGAGGGCCTGGGTGCTACTGGTATTCAGAGGGTAGAGAACAGGGATGTTGCTAAATATCCTACAATACACAGGACAGCCCTCTACAACAAAGAATTTTGTGATCCCAATTGTCCATAGTACTGATGTTGAGAAAGCTGGCAGGAGAGTATTTCACCAAAATTCTACAAGGGCAATAGGAATCAGTGAAGAGTTTGAATTATAACCTTTTCTAAATTGAATTTTTACGCTGTAGTAATCTTAACCAATATGTAGCAAGTGCGGTCAGCAATGACCCAGTTAGAATCACTTTAGGAGCACACTGTTGCTATGTACTAGTGCTGCTATGTGCTTCAAAATAATTTGTTCCATTAGGTAGGTTAAAAGTTGCCCCGGTGATTACGTTGAGGCCTTCTGTTCATTTACTCTGCATTCACCAACTGAGCATCTGCCAAATAGCAGGCCTCAGGGATACAGCAAATAAAAGTAATGATAACCACGACAAGAAAAAGAAAAAGCAATCACAAACAAAACCCACAGTCTCTGGCCTCAAGGAATTTATAGTCCAGAGTGGAGACAGGTAAACAGACAACTTAAAAGCCTGTGAGGGGACTACCAGGAAAAACACAGGCACAGGTGTGCGGCCCAATTAACACAAGGAAGTGAGGGACAAAGGGAAAATGTTTCCTCAAAGAGACGGTACCAAAGCTGAGTCTTGAAGGAGAAGCAGGAGTAGGTAAGTTGGCAACTGGAGCTTGAGTGGATGGAGCTGTTGGGATAAAGATGCTGTCTATGTTTCTCACACCAACAATGATTTAAAAAAAAACAAAAACCCACAATAAGAAGTAACATTTGTGGAACAAAAACTAAGAGCTGGACACTAGTCTAAGAACCTTGCCTGTAGTAACTCGGATAATCCTCACAGAAGCCCTGTGAGGCAGGTTCTATAATTAGTCTCATTTATAGATGAGGAGGCTGAGGCACAGGCGCAGTTGAAGTCCAAGGTTACACAGCTAATGACTGGCAGCTGGGATTTAAAATTTACTTAATGTGGCTCTGGTGCCTGAACTCTTAACCGCTAATTTATACTCTTTGAAGAGCCAGAAGATATGACAACTATTTTCAACAAGGACTGTTAGCTAAGAGACTTACTCAGAATTAATCTAAGAGGCAGAGTAGACCTATTGAGTAGAAGTCACATGCCTGGTAAACCAGGCTTTTAGGATGAAGACCAAAATTCTAACCATGGATTAGAAGGCCCTGCCTGATCAGGCACTCAGATACAGATTTACTTCTATCCTAATCCCTCTTACTCTCCATCTTGGGAAAGGAAGCCCTTTCTGTTGTTTTTGGAGCTAGATGATATCCACTTGGTCTTCCCTCTTCTTTCCTGCGAGCTGGAAGAGCAGGTTTTCTGCATCCTGACTCAGGCCAGTTTTCAACACAGGAGAATTCACAGTTGAGGCTAGAGCCCTCCAACAACGCCCTGCAGGCCCCTCCTCACTACTAGGGGACAGAACCACTGAAGAACACCCTTTGAACATGGTCCCTTCCCCAGTAAACACCCTGGCCACATTTTCACACACACTCTATCAAAATACGTAAACTATCAGATGCTGTAGAAGACAGCCTCCAACTCTGCTCTGACCCACCCATCTACTAACATCACTGAGAGTTCTCTTTAGAATGAGAAATGTTCCAGAGTCAACTAAGCTCTCTGACCTTGAAGATATTTGGTTTCTTCCAGCTTTAAAAGACTAAACTTCATGACTCATAAGAAGATGGCACATTATGGCACGTTAGGGGCACCTAGGTGGCTCGGTCAGTTAAGCATCTACCTTCGGCTCCAGCTGTGATCCTGGACTCCTGGGATCGAGCCCCTCCTGGCATTGGGCTCCCTGCTCAGCCAGGAGCCTGGTTCTCCCTCTCCCTCTGCCCAGCACCCCCACCACCAGCACTGGCTCGTGCTCTCTCTCTCAAATAAATAAATAAAATCTTAAAAAAAAAAAAAAGATGGCACATTGTTTAGAGCACAAGACTGCGTCTGTGACTTTGAGCAAGTCATTTACACTCTCTGAGCCTCAGGAATAATAATAATCATAGTAATAATCGTAATAATATCTCATCTCACTGGGTTGAATGAGATAATGCATGTAAATTACTTAGCAAATACTTGGCACACAGAGCACTCAATACTCAATAAATGTTTGCTTTTCTTCTTATTATTAGATTATAAAGAAAAAAAGTCCTTTGTGGAAAAATCACTGACTGTGTGTTTGTGGATGCAGAGAAAACAGTTAAAGGTCATATACCAAATTTTTACTGGGGTATGAAGGAGAAGGAAATCTCATATTTTACACACATGCAATTTTCAAAATAATTTACTGCTGGCCTGTGTTGTAAATTTTTTAAAATAAGAATAATAAAAAGTAAAGATGGCTATTTTTTACTTTTACCATCAAAAAGTTCACGCCAACCAACATTTCTTATTTGAAAAGGAAAATGGGAAGGGCCAACACTCCAAAACTGCCTGAATGAGTAGGCTAAATCACCATAATGAGGGAGCTATATTTAGTCAGGGGGCTGGACCCTGACCTTCACAGTGAAAAATGGATTCCATCAAAGCAGCAAGGCTGCCCAAGCCTGTGTCTGGTCTGGGCAGTACCCCTTTCTGAAAAGCAATAGTTTTCTCTGAACATTTGACTGGTCTGTGTCAAACCTTGTCCGAAATCTAAGTTTTGAGGGTTACCACAAAAAAAAAGCCTCATATCAAGATCACCAGATAGTATGTCTGGCTTGTTTCTTTACTAAAAGGGAGAAAAGAAAAAGAAAGGAAACCAACAGATGCAATCCTATATACTATTTATTACGTTTTAAAGAGATGTTTTAGTGTTCTGGGAAATGAGCCTCAAGCATAAGGTTAGGGGAAGGCTTAGGAGGCAGCTGCCCCAGGCCTTAGGCCTGTCCTACCCTAATTTTAACTTGGCTGCCACTCTAATTCAGAGTCGGCTCAGAGCCTGTGCCCTCCACACACCAAGTCATTCTCAGAGTTTGTGATTCCTTAAGCAACACAGAATGAGGATCTGTGCAACTGTCTACTGAATCCCACAAATGAGCGTTCTCTTCTGCATGGGGGCAACGACTCTGAACCACATCTGGAAATTGTGAACTCTCTCCTCTGGGCTGTGTTCCTGGGCCTATAGCTTCTCAACAATTGTCACATGCCCTTGGGCTAGAAGTCATGTCTGATTGATCTTGGTGTTGTTTTGAGCTTGGCACAGAGAAGTGACTCAATAATAAATAAGCCAAAGATCCGCAAACCACCCTAAGTAACCACCCTATTTAGCCTTTCCCACATCCTCCAAGTCTGGATTTCTCCTCTTTCTCTCAGGCCAGCTTGTACTTTCCCTCTGTAATGGCAAGCGAGTTCCTTTATAAAATCTGAGGTTGGCTTTTTCCTTAAAGATGCATAGAATCAGCAAGATCTAGAATATCACCATCCTGCACAAGTGAGAGAAGCATCTCTTAAAGGGTAAACTACAAGAAAAGGTGGTTTCTAGTAAATCAAGTGTGTGTGTGCCGGAAGCGGATGGAATCCTATGTAACACAGGACACTTTTTATTTTAAGATCTGTTATTGAGAAGGCCTTTAATACGATGAGACCACCAGCTAGGAAGTGAAGGAGAGAAAGTAGCCACGCCGGACGACTCCTGGATGAAAACGCAAGAGAACCTGGTTCCTAGAGTCAGGGCAGCCTTCACCCCACACCGGGAGATGCGCCACCAGGAAACACCCGCCCTCTTGCTCCCAAGCTCATCTTCCTCCTACAGTGCGGCGGGCACTAGGCGGAGAAACCGACAAAGCGCGTTGCTTCTTGGGTGCCCTTTTTACACTAAAACCCCCAGAATGCAGAGTTCGGATCCATACCCAGTCGCCCAGGTCTCCCAGGGCGGCGCCCCTTCCCGCCAGCCCCCGGATAGGGTTACACCACTTTCCTCTTTCAAAAGACTGGGGGGCTGCAAATACCTACAACAAGAGCCTAATCAGGGCACAGAGGAAAAATAAAAGTCAGTTTTTCTTGTCCGAAGCTGGCAAAATTTCCTCACCCCTGGAAATCCCCTCACGTCTCCGCCCGAGGCACGGGAAGGAAAAGGGGACCCCAAGATTGTTGCGGCCTCGCCCTGACAAGTTTCCACCGGCTTGACCGCTTGCACTTGCCGGGGCGAAGGCTGGGCGTGGAGAGCGTTTCCATATCCCGGGATCCTGTATGTACACCCGGAGCCCCACGGTGCTGCCCTCGATCAGTGCCCCGGAGGGGGACCCCACTTACCCCACAACGGAAATCATCATGGCAGCCACCACCAGGTAGTTGGTCTGATAATAGAGCAGGTTGCTCACCACGCGGTTGTTCCATTTGGAAATGTCCCTGAAGTCCGGCCTGGCGAAGCGGTCAGAGCCAGGGAAGAAATCGTCCCAGGCGCGGAGCGGGGCGAAATTCACGTCCATGTCTAGTCTCTCAGCTTCTTGTTCTTCTCATCTGGAATCTGGCGGCGGCGGCGGAGGCAACCGATCGGCTAAGCTGGGTTAGAGATGACAGCGGCTCAGGCTCAGCCGGCTCTGCGGTTGGTGAGCAGCGGAGCGAAGGCATTGGGAGCGGGCGGGCGTTTTTCTCTTCTTTACTTCTTGATTGGCTGTAAGAGGTTGGTTACAGAAAAAGTGGGGCCTCGCGACAGAGCAAGGGGAAGAGTGCAAAATAGAGATGAAATAGAAAGAAACGAGCGCAAATCCCCAGTGTGAAGCGAGATGGCATTGCCTTCCCTGACAGTCCGAATACACACAGCCTCCTTTAAAATACCCCCTTTTGAGTGTTCAACCTAAGAATGTGTTCTAGATTTTAGGGAAATTTTTTGCAGCTGTTCAGATGCTAATCTAAGTGAAATGGAATGGAAGGCAACTATAGTGTTACTGGAAGATGAGCTGGTTTTGAAAACTGAGTAGTTACTAGCCTCTGCACATCTGAATGCAATTCTCATGTTTTCTGTCTCACCATGAGTCACTATGAGTGAAATCAGATTGGAAAAATGGGAAAGAAGGAAGTGTAGAATGGAAGGGCTGGCTTGTTATTTCACTTCTCTTTTTTTTTTGTTCTCCATCTCTGTCTTCTCCAGACAAAATTATTGAACTACCGTGCTATTCTGATGCAGTGGGCACTCTAGTCACATCAGCCTTGAGATGGGAAGTTTTTCACCTTAGAAAGCAAACAATGGTCTGCAGTGACCAAATAGTGTAGAGTAATTGCTTAGAGTTAGATATTACTGCTATTGTTACTAAAAATAGCACGGGCCACGGTTCATCTGTATGGTATTAATAATAGTGCGCTAACCTGATTTGTTTTCTGTGGTTTATAATGAACATCCACTGACTTTTCTCTATCTTGTGGCAATTTTATTGTTGTGGTTGTCTCTGAGTAGGCTTGATAGGGACAAAAAGGTAGAAGACTTCAGTATGATGCCAACAGATATTTTGAGTCCTTTCAAGGCTCTGTGAAAGCACTCTGGGGGATAAAAAAAAAAAAAAGGTGAGAAGAATGCAGCCCTGCCCTGCCTTCAGGGATCGTGCAATGCAGTGGAAACACTAACTTAAATGTAAGAGGAGTGCTAGGTAGAGATGTGCCAGACCTTAGTGCTCAGTTACAGGAAGTTAGAGGGTGTGGAAGAATTCCCTGGGGCTTAAGAATTTCAAAAAGCAGCACTGTGGGCAAGCTGAGAAAATGATCTTGGTCATGACCAGCATACCAGCACCATTAGGACCCCACACCTGTTGGAGAGATCAGTGAGCATTAGGAGCTGTGACCAAGAACCTTCCAATTGCTCAGGACTGCATGACCATAAACTGTCAGATGTCTGTTAGTAATAATATGATTCCTCATTGATCATAGGCAATTGATATCCAGTAAACATTTGTTCTGTGAATTTTTATTTATTTGTTTAGAGGCATCTGGCTGGCTCAGTTTGTAGAGCGTGACTCTTAATCTCAGGGTCTTTAGTTCCATGATGGGAATGGAGCCTACTTAAAAAAAAAAAAAAAAAAGAATTTATTTGTTTAAACCTCCAAAGAGGTTTAAAAATAAAGAAATGAAAAAAAGCCGGATATAACTGTATTTAGCATGATTTCCTTCTCCCTCTCTAATGAAGTATTAACCATGCTTCTCTCTCTGGCTGCATATGAGAGAATTTGTTTTCCCACTACACATTTCTATCTTTGTCAAAATAATTTTAAATAAAAATGGACACATCTGGAATCCTTACTTGATTTCAGGTACTCTTCAAAATGCTATTAGTAGCAGCACTTTGTCATTATTCATTCAGGGGTTGGCCTTTCTGCAGCTCCTATATCCACACTTGTGCTTCTAGATAGACCCACTCTGAATATTTACCTGTCTGTATACAAACCATAGTGGATAGTCTAATAGTTTATGATATATTACCTTTGAAATGAAATAAATCTGTTTCATGTCTGTTACTTTCATTGCTGGCAAGGGCAGGTGGCTATTTCTAATTGGCCTGACTGAGCCAGTGGGAGTGCCTTGGTGTCATCTACCAAAACACCACCACAGGAGTCTAGGTATTAGTCCCAAGGCACACAGATGAAGCGCTAGATGCCTTTGCAGTCCTCTTCATTGTCCAGCAGCACCCTGTTCCCAGGCCTCAGCTTCCTCCCTATGAAATGGGTAGGTTTGGACTAGATGATCTCTAAGGCACCTGTTGGTTTTTATCATCTGAGGGGTCTGTGGAGCTTGCTGCCACTAATCAGAAGGTCTCCTCTCTGATCAGAGAGTAGCATTGCTGGGGCCCCGCCCACACTAGTCTGTTTTGAAAAGCGTGGGCTTAATCTCAGTGGTTTCTATCTGCAGAGTAGTCTGGGCAAAATTAAAAAAAAAAAAAAAGAGGTTTGTGGGTTGATACTGAGACATGTGACCCAAGAAAGTGGCTGGTGTTTCCTGCTACAGACTGTGGACTGTGAACTCTGTCTTCTCCCATTTATTGCCTGTCACTGACTTTCAGCTCAATGAATGCTATTGAACTGAACCTGATTGGGGGATAATAAAGGACAAAGAGGAGACAACATCATAATTTATTAACAGCAGCTACATTTACCGAGTACCCATTAGGTTTTACGTACTCCATGTCAGTGGTTCTCAAGCTTTATTTTGCACAGAATCATCCAGGGTTTTGCAGAAGGTTGGGGATGGGGCCTGAAAACTTGCATTTATAACAATTCCCCAAGTGATGCTAATAGGGCTGATCAGGGGATTATATTTTGAGAACCACTGTATTTCATTCAGTTCTCAGTCTTACAAGGCAAATATTTTACAAATGAAGACCCAGCAGTATCCCAACTCTTATAGTTTGTAAGTGGAGAGTTAAGAATTTAAACTGTTCTTCCTAATTCTAAATTTCATTTTTTTCCAGCTCCAAGAAGGGATATATGTATATATATGCGCATATATACATATATTTTTTTGAATATGATCTTTTGTATCCAGTCATCCAGACACCCCCCCACACACATACTTACATCTATCTATCTATCCATCATCTATGTCTGACTGTGAAAATAGTCCAAATTTAATCATTTATCTTCAGGTGATGCGATTACAGGTGTTCTAAATTATTCCTTAATTTTTGTGCTTTTTTTCTTTATACTTTTATTTTTATTTATTTATTTATTTAATTTATTTATTGAGAGAGAGAGAATGGTAGAGAGAGAGCATGAGAGGGGAGAAGGTCAGAGGGAGAGGCAGACTCCCTGCCAAGCGGGGAGCCCGATGCAGGACTCAATCCTGGGACTCCAGGATCATGACCTGAGCTGAAGGCAGTCGCTTAACCAACTGAGCCACCCAGGCACCCTCTTTATACTTTATTTAAATACATATTTTTCCCCAGAAAAAATGTTTTTTTTCTATCCAGTTCCATTTCTGCTGAACTTATCTGACAGAATCATGTGACATTAAAACATTACCATTGATATTCACAAAGGAGGAAAATAATAATCTCTCCATCCCACCACTATAAACTGATTTAGATTTTATTCTTAAAGTGCGTACTCTTATGCAAAAATGTTTCCTGAAAATTTAAGGTGAAAATACGATGCTTTGCCTCAGAGAGACGCTCTGCAGCACGAGGGTGGCTCTTCCAAGGAGTTTTTTCATAGAATATACCATTTTCTTTAAAGATTTTATTTATTTATTTGAGAGAGAGAGAATGAGAGATAGAGAGCACGAGAGGGAAGAGGGTCAGAGGGAGAAGCAGACTCCCTGCTGAGCAGGGAGTCCGATGTGGGACTCGATTCCGGGACTCCAGGATCATGACCTGAGCCGAAGGCAGTCGCTCAACCAACTGAGCCACCCAGGCGCCCAGAATATACCATTTTTTATAATTATTAATTAGTACGTAAATTGTATAAACGTATAATGTATTATGTGTATATTTTCACACAACCTTATACACTGGATAAGATTTATGTAATGAAGTGTAGTTAATCAAGATTATATTTACACGCAAAAGCCTTGAAGCCCAAGGGAGCCTCCGCGCCATCAACCCCACCCCTTCCTCTGGCCCCGCCCCTTTGCCCCTTTCCGCTCCTCCCCGTCCTTTTCCAACTCTCCCTGACGGCCCCGCCCCTTCGCTTCGTTCCGCCCCTTCGCTTCGTTCCGCCCCTTCGCTTCGTTCCGCCCCTCCGCCCCGCCCGCCGTGGGGGCACCTGGGAAGAGGCGGAGAACAATATGGCGGATGGCGAGGAGCCGTAAGTACTCTGGCCCTGCAGGCGTGAGGGGCCGGGCTGGGTTGTGAGAGAGCGCGGCGGTGGGCGGTCGCCGCCGCCACCCGGGGTCCCCCCACCCCCCGCCCCGTCCCCTCGCGGCGCCCGGTGTGTAGCGTGATGCTGACCCTTCTTTTATTCTCTCTTTCTTTTAGGGAGAAGAAAAGAAGGAGAATAGAGGAGCTGCTGGCTGAGAAGTTAGTGCTGCCGGGAGGCCGGGGCCCTCTCCGGGGACCCCCGCCTCCCCCCACCCCAGGCCTAGGGGACCAGCCGCAGCGGGCCCGGGGGGCTGGGAGGGGGGCCCCCGGAGCGCAGGCCGCGCGGCCTCATCCCCTGACCCCCATCCCGGAGCCCCAGGGGCCCGGCGGGCCGCTCCTCGTCTGTATCTCGGGCGGGCGCCGGGCCCGGGGTCCACCGCAGCAGGCCCGGCACCGGCCCGCCGGGGTGGTACTTGACCGAAAGGTCTTGCGGAAGGACCCTTGAGCCCCACCCCCCTCTCCACCCCAAATTGTCATAGCCGTGACCTTGTGAAAAGGGAATCTTTATTAAACATGTGAAACGGACACTAGGCCCTTTTTGGCCTTTCGTAATAGTATTATTACGAGACAATAGTATTATTGCAAACTTTTTATGAGAACTTTATCTGTAAGGTTTTGTACTAAGCACTTCATTTTTGCGAAATAGTTGGCTCTTAAGGGTTAATGTTGACTCCAAAGAGTTTATTTTCTCCATTTATTACACACCCTATTTTTTATCAGATGTTTAGTTTTGTGCTGGTGAGACAGATTTAATCTGTTTTCTAACCTGGCCCACGCCACATAATTTTTCTTCTCCCTACATGGGAGGAGTAGAAGGTACTCTTGCAGTGGGTGTGGTGAGTTAGTAGTTTCTGTGCCAGTTCCCAGTAGCGTGTTTTATTTAGTCTTTATGTATCTCCCTCCGAAAGTTTAATTTCAGTTGCAAAAGGATTGGAATGACAAGCTTTATT